GTGAAACATCTCCCTGCTGAGGAAAGGCTGAGGGAGCTGGGTCTGTTGGGCTTGGAGAAGAGGAGACTGAGGGGCAACCTCATCCATGGGCACAAACACGTTCAGGGCAGTGTCAGGAGGACAGAGCCAGGCTTTGTGCAGTGGTGCCCAGTGACAGGACAAGGGGCACTGGGTGCAAACTGGAGCACAGGAGGTTCCATGTGAATTTCAGGAAGAACTTCTTTGCTGTGAGAGTGACAGAGCCCTGGGACAGGCTGCCCAGGGAGGCTGTGGATGCCCCCTCACAGAAGTGTTCAGGGCCCGGTGGGATGGGGCTTGGAGCAACCCGTGGGAGGAGTCCCTGCCTGTGGAAGGGGGTTGGAACTGGGTGATCTTTAAGGTCCTTTCCAACCCACACCATTCTGTCACTCTACGGATGGGCTTGTGATATGTGTTCAAGCCTTTTTCTTTCCAGTTTACTGTTTATTTAATTAAATGTCAGACGCCTGTGGAGGATCTGCTTTAAGTCATACTTCTTCTGGCAGAAAAAATATGATGTACTGTAGGCATCAAGATATGACTTAAGTCAAAAGGGTCCGTTTCTTCCACAGACTCTTTTTTAGGTCCAGCTTTTTTCACATAGGTTGTGCTGGTGCCCTGAGTTCCCAGCAGGGTTGGCTGTCTGCTTCCAGGGAGATTTTCTGTGTGATACCTGGCCATCTGCTGTGGCAGCATGCAGAGTGGTTCATCTCTGGTGAAGGAGCCAGCTGACCTAATCTGGTGTGTTCTTCTGATTGGAGTCAGACGACTCCAAATATGTGTTACTGCAGAATAGGTTAGAAGGCAGCACTGATGTGATAAAGAAGATAATTTAAATGTGGTCAATCCTTTAAAGGCAGTGATAGCCTTATGTAGGCTTGCTTAAAGATAGGTGAAGTGAGAAGCATCCCATGGAGAACTAACCTTTTGAAATAATTTTTTTGGATACATGTATTGAATTGTTGATGACTGTAACACTCTTGTGTTTGTTTGAAGTGAGTTTACGCCAGACACAGAAACTGACAAAGAATGTGTGGTCACCGAGAACCTCCAGCCATACATGTGTGAAGAAGCTGACACTGAGGAAGGAGATGGTGATGAGGACAATGATGAGGATGAGGAAGAGGAAGACTGGGACTGACCCAATGAGGTGGGAAGACTCATGAAGCGCCACAATGCTGCTGGTGGATGCAATCCACAGGTAGGTTGGAAGCTCTTATGTGAGCATTGAGGCTGAGGTTGGGTGGAGCTTTGAGCAACCTGGTCTTAGTGGGAGGTGCCCTTGCCCATTGCAGGAAAATGGGACCTAGATGATTTGTAAGGTCCCTTCCAACCCAAACCATTCTTTGATGCTATGAAATGGGGTAATCTTTGTTCCTTGTTAGTATGATGTTGAGCATAAATGCAAGCGGGAATTTTTCCTTGGCAGAATCCCCTTCCTTGGAGTCTGTTTCTTTGCAGTGCCATTTATGTATGTATGTATGTTGTAGCCAGAGCTCCACCTGATTTTCTTGTTTCAAACCTTATTGCTGGATTCTCTTTGTCACTGCAGTTTTTCTGCTGTTCCTTACCTTCCTCAACTTTTCTTTGATCACCATGATCTCTAGTGACATTGTTTACTTCCTGGTATTTGTCCAGTGTTGTTCTGAGCATCTTCCCTATCCTTTCTTTTTAATTTTGAGACTGTACCTGCTTGTCACAAGACGGGTGAAACAGGTTATGTATTGGACTAATAATGAAGGAGGCAAAGGAAAATATAGGAGAATGAGGGTGGTGCTGGCAGTGGATTCCTTTAGAGTGCGTGCAGTTGACACAGAAATTCCGGTGTTGTTCAGGCTGAAAAGCACACGTGATGCAAGAGCTGGCATCCTTCTCCCCCTCAGCTTGGACACAAGGTTCAAACTTCTTTTTTTTTTTTTTTTCATATTCTTGTAACAGAATTTGTATTCTTAGAACAGCTGAGATTAATTAAAGTGATGCTGATCATGACATAACATATCTGATGCACAGCACTTATCTTGGGTGATTTTTTTCTTGCCTTTAGCTGCGGTTTATGCAGTTCAGTGTTGGTGAAACCCTGTTCAGATATTAATTGTGTTTGGAGAAAACTACCCATAAGAAAAAGATCATCTTGGAAAATTTTCTGTTTGTTACCTTCTCATTTTTTCTCATTTTTCTCCCTGCTTGCTATGTCCCTTCCTTGTACAGTTAGAAAATGCGAGAGCTTTGCAGCTTAATTTCCAGACTAAAAATAACCCTGAGTTAGGGCACTTTCGGGAACTTTTAACTGATTTGTTTTCTTTTCTTGAATTAAGTAAGATTAAGATCTGATATGGATCCTTATCCATTTCCTCACCCTTTCTGGTTTTCTGTTTATGGCTCTAGGCATAGGCATTTGGACTGACTTTTCTAATGATATTATTTATATTTCAAAGGGCTTTCTAGAGAAGGCAGCTTATGTATTAACAAATCCTTTGTTTCAGGCAAATAGGCAGACCCCTAGTTGCTGTTCAGCAAAAATGTCTACCCCTACAGACAAGGCTTTAAGGAAGTTTGAAAACAAAATCAATTTAGGTGAGTATAATTGCAGTTTCTTCTGTTTTCGAAAAGAGATACAACAGCGTTATGTTCTCAGAATTATTCTGCTTACTCCAGAACTCACTGGAGTGGCAACTGACCATTGCCAGAAAGATTTAAAAATGCCTTTTGTGCCTTTAAGTTGCCTTTAGTCTCCATTAACCAGCTGTCATACCTGTTTCTCTCCCCATTCAGAGCCACAGCTTGGGTTTTTTTTTTTCCTTCCCCTCGACTTCTCCAGACTGTTTAAAGTTAACGTATTTCCTCCCTAGCATCCCTGCAGGAGGAAGCTGTTTGGCTGGAGGGAGGGTGTCTCTCTCTGTTGTGATGTTGTCAGTGACTCTCAAAGCTGAACACCACTTGAAATAGACTGTGAGGAGAGAATCCTGGAGTCTGTTGCTTCTTCTGTTCCAAAACTGGCACTGCAGTGTGATAAGAGCATGGTGGCTGAATTTAATGGTATCCAAATGTTATCCAAACATGTTATCCAAAAGGCATTGCTTCTGGATGGCCTTACATCTCCCAAGTCCATGGGACTGCCTCAGTCATCTGTGGTTTTACCTTATAGTCCTTGAAACGTAGATGGAGTGAAGTGCTAGGTTAACTCTGGTGTGTAGCTAAGCTTCTGGGCTTGTTACACTCCACCTGTGTTTGACCTTGTGTTGTGGTGTGTCAGCTTGGCAGCAGAATTGCAGGGGCAATTGCAAACATAGGTAACTTCTTTGATTTTATTTGTTTTCTTAATTTCTTAACATGTTTTTCAGATAAGCTGAATTTTGATGACTCTGTTATAAACCGAGTCACAGAGAAGTCTAGACAGAAGGAAGCAGACATGTGAGTATTACTCCTGGTTCTATTTTTATTTAAATAATTTTGAACCAAGAAAGGTAGTTCTTATTTCCTAATGTGGTCCCGTGTTTTGAATAAATTAAAAAAAACAACCAAACAAAAAACAAACCAACAAAAACCCAAAACCAAAATTTGTAAGTAGTCTGCATGCAAAGTTCCTTTCTGGTCTTTTGTATAGTAAGACAGAAGTACTGGGTATCGTTCTGCTAGTAAAAGACTGTTTTATCTCCAGTACTGTTTGTCTTTGTCTAAACACAGGTCCTTAAGCATTTTGGGCTAGGAAAAAATATTGGAAGCCTTTTGTAGGCTCCACTTGATGATTTGGTGAGAAGTACCTTTTTTGAATTTTTTGGTTTTAAGCCTGCAGTGTATAGCCCTCAGTTGTTAAGATAGGTACTGTTTTCTCCTGAGTGAGCATAATTTAGTGGAAGCAAGAAGGTATCTTTGAAAGTGAAGGCCACTGATGCTTATGGGCTGGTTTGGTTTTTTTTGTTTTACTTTTTTTCTCCCTGCAGAAGAAACCTTTGTTTTTGTATGAACCGAAGGCCTTACTTCTTGAGGCTGTTGTCTTCTTTTTGATACAGAATGTCATGTTTTACTCTGTCAAAGTACTGTGTCCATGTGTGGCACTGCATTATTTTATTTTCACTTCTGCTAGGTACCGAGTCAAAGACAAGTCAGACAGAGCAACAGTAGAACAGGTAAGTTCTTAATGCTTCAAACTTCTCTTTTGACTGGGGCAAATTATGTGGAGTTTTAGAATCAATGATAGAATGGATGCTTTAGGAACAGAGTTTTCCTTAGGATTCTGTTTCTCTTTTTATACTGAAGAGTCTTGTTGTTTCTTTGCTTCTTTCTTGTATGAAGGTTGTACTTGCTCCCATTACCATTTTGGAGGTCATTTTTGTGCTTAGCATTGTGGCTTGATCATATATACAGTGCAGAATTCCATCTTAAGCTTTTATTAAATTTCAAAGAACAATAAAAATGCTGCGTTTGCATTTTTCCTTTTCTTCTTCTTTAGCAAGACTGACGTGTTACTGGCCCAAGGCCACGTATCTGCTCTTTTTCAGTTATGATAACTACATCTTAAGAGAAACCTAATTTTAACACATTTAATGCAACTGTGGGTGGGAAATAATTCTCTCACGTCTCTTCTAGAGCTAGCTCATGAGCATATGCTTAGCTTAAAAAAATCTTGAAAGAAAAAGTGAAGTGTCATTCTAAAATCATGGCAAAATTCTGAGTTGCTGCTGTTTGGATTATCATTTGATCCCTAAGAACAGGCTCATGCTGTGGATCCTTTAATATGATATTAAGGACGAACTGTATTTAGTAGATTTTGTCCACTTCGAAGAGAGCAATTGTGCTGAGTTTTCTGTATTGAATTTGAGGTGCTGGATCCAAGGACCCGGATGATTCTGTTCAAGATGTTAACTAGAGGCATCATATCAGAAATCAATGGCTGCATCAGCACAGGGAAGGAAGTAAGTTTTCTTACAAGTGGTGTGTTGGTCTTTTTCTCAGCAAGCTTAGGTGGAAGCTTGTGGTGCTCAGAAGATGTATTGAAATACCTGGTTTTAGTACCACTATTTGGTTTTTATTTTGCTTGATGGGTAAGAAGTTACCTTAAGATAAAATACAGTTTATGTTAAACAAAAGTTTTCCCAAGTATGAAAGATTTCTCAGATTACTTAAATGTTATTGTTATTAAAACCAGACTATGAATTTCCAAGTAAATTAATAAATCAGTTTTCAGATGCCTAGTCCCTAGGCTGATCTGGTTTTCTTCCAAGTCCTTGGAAGATGCTGATTAAATGCTGATTAAAGGCATACTTCTACCCTGTGTGAAAGTGTCAAGGTGAGATAGTTGGGCTATGCTTTGGGGCTTAAGTAGTGCACAAACAAATTAACCCTTCACACAAGGGCTTATTTCAGTCTCCAGAATGTGGATGAGGTGGAGTTCTCTTGTCCATTGTTGGTTTTATCCTATATGCATTGTCACACCTCTTCTCAGTCTTGGATACTTCCTGTAAGCTACCTCTAGCAGAAAGATTTATTGTCCTGGTGTGCAGTTTGACTCAGCTGGGTGCCAGGTAGGGGCTGGGTTGAGATCAGGTGTTTTTATTGGACCTTTTCCAGATGTCAGAAAGAGAAGAAGAGAGAAGGTTATGTTGGTTTAAGGAGTCTTTCTTTAATATTATTTCTCCCCTTCCTAATCTGATAGGCTAATGTATATCATGCCAGTACTGAGAATGGAGAGAACAGAGCAATAAAGATTTACAAAACCTCTATTCTGATGTTTAAAGATCGGGATAAGTATGTGAGTGGTGAATTCAGGTGAGTTTAACTTTTGCCTGGTTTTACT